AGATAAGGCTACAGACAACTGTTAGCTTAGCTTTGCACAAAGGCTGGAAACATGGGGTGTAAACCTATCCCTGCTGTGTCCAAAGATAATCCTCCTACAAAAACTGATGTGTTAAAACGTCAGTTTTATAGACACAGAGCACGGCAGAAACAATCTTCTGTTCTAACTCTAATTAAACAAAGCCTATTTCCCAAAATGTTTAACATGACCTTTGACCCTCCCCCCACCCAGGCCGAGATACTCACACAAACCAAAAAATACAGAACTCTCTGCCGCCATTCCACTCCTAAAAAGAAAAAAAAGGAGTAAGTTTGACTCTAGCATGCTTACTCTGACGATAACACAACAGAAAAGTAGCAGCATCAGTGTCATAATAATAAAACATGTCTCTCCGTGAGCTGAGTTCACACATTCCACTGTGGAACTAAAACACTTAATTCAAATTCGTGAATAAGTGGAGGTGGTGTCTTCCTGCTAACAAGACTCAAGACGCTCCGTGCATCATTATAAAGTTGCAGTGAATACGTCAAATAAACAGCAACATATCTGTCTGATCCTATGGCCCGGGATTTGTTTAGTTAATGCTAAGACCCTTTTGACCCATTTCTGTCACCTCGAGCACGTCAGCACCCACTCAAGACTTTCAAACAAAACACTGGTGCACAACAGCACCCACAGACTGTTCCTGATAAAACAGAGAATCTAAAGGAAGCCAGCACCCACAGCACTGACATACAGAAATGTGTTTCTGAGACAATAAGAAACAGGCCATTAATCCTGGAGGGAATTGGAGAACAATGTCTAAGTGGATTACTTGAGGAGTCGTATTCGAAAATGTGTTCAAATTTGAGGTTAACACAAAGGATTCAGAAGATTGTGATTCAAAGATTATTGTATGGAACATCATTATAAATGATAGTGATTTAGAAACAATACACTTAAATAGACAAGTTTGTTTTTTCCAATTTCCAGATTTTGACAGAGCATGTTAGAAATAATTTATCTTTATCAATATGATTTTTTTTTCTTCTAACACGACAGTAACTGCTTATTCAATATCTAACTGAATGTTCTATTAATAACCATTTGTGAGCCTCTGCATATTAGATTAGAAGCACGGGGCCTAACAGCATGGCTTTCCTCCCTCAACACAACGGTTACCGTACTGCAGATTCATCACATGTCTGGTTTAATGTGATATTAATTACAGCTCAAACCATCTCTCAATCTGAGATATCAACAAAATGCACTTTTACTGCAAATCAGGGCACAGAAATAAGAATCAGCTCAAATCAACTCAACCTATGTAGTGTAAATCAGGTGTAGTGTATTAAGATAAAGCCTTGTGTTCTTCAGTTTCCTTTAGATATGTAGAAACTAAAAGGTAGAGGCAGAATTAAAAGGAGCATTTCAACTTCATGTCTGGCGAAAACCCAACATTACTGTAGACAACAACATGGTCACCAACACAAGCTGAGCTCTGAGCTTCTCTCTGTGGTTTAGGGAAAGGCCTGACATGGAATGCAACCAGAATGAGTGGTATAAATCACTGACCTTAAATACAGAATACTTGCTCCTCTTCTTTATTTCCTCTATCTCCAGATGAACGTTCTTTTACTTTGTGGTCCGTGTTCAGTGTTGGCCCCCTTTGTTGGTTATCCACAGAGTGGACAGATGGCTCCCTGTGCCCTCAGACCGGCTGGAGCGGAGGCTGGCTTTGCTATTAGTCCCTCAGCTTAGCCCAAGATAAGCCCCTACGCAGGGCAAGTGAACCCGCATCTCTGCCTAATTCTCCCTGTCACAGCCACCAAAGAGGCGTTCCTCCGCACGGAGATCCACGAGCTGAAGAGGCCTGAGGGCAGGGCAAAGAGGCTCTGTGCCTGGACACTGTCCAGCATGTAGAGCGAGCTACACTTACATCCACGACAACAACAAAAAAACGAGGTCTAGGCTTTTACAGGCATCAAAAACACACCGAGAGACACTGAAGAGAAGCTTTGTTAACCACTGTTGCTCTGTGACTAACAACTCTGCATGACTGCTGTGTTCTTCATTAGATTGTCAGAGAGCTTCCTGGCTGCACAGGGCTGGATTTTCTCTAAACTAAATCTCCCTGTATGAAATCTGTGCTTTGTACAAGGAACACGACTAATTGAGGGCTGGGAAGGACAATGTGGCGTTTGAGTTATTTAGTGATGTTAAGCACAATGTCTTGGTGGGGTGCTTCTCCCCCCCTCACCGCCTCTGCCCTCCCCCACACCAAGCCCCTTTGCCCTCGTAATGAGGCCATACTGGATACAATACAGCCCTTCTGCACAGAGAAAAAAATGTATTCAGCTGAGCTTCAAAATGTGAAGGAAATGAATCAGTGAAGCATAAGTGGCATATTTAATTACTATTCAGTGCGTTGCACAGAGACAATGATGGCTGCTGTGAGCCTCACGGCCGTCTATCAGACATCTAAGCAGCTCCACATTACATTCACTCCTCAATACAACTTCTGAGTTACACTTCTATGATTAGGACTGAATGTCTTCATGAGAACAGAAAGATGAAAATAATCCTTTAAATTACGAGTATATTGCTATGTTTCCTCACTTTTAAAGGCTTCTGCAGGGTTAAGTCTGTGTTTTGTTAGGATGTGAGGTTGTGGAACAAAGGTCAATAAAAGTCCACAGAAGTGCAATAAACTTTCAGAACAGCGTGGCTTTGTGCATCCAAACTGCAAACACACTCAACCAGAACAAAGCTGTCAGAGCTTCAAGGACACGACTCCTGACCGAGTGTGTGACAGTTATTTCAGATCAATTCAGAGCCCATGAGATGATCAGGTATTTCATGCCACTCACTTGTGACTAATTTCCTCCTTCATGTGCCTTGTGCAACAATGAGATTAAAGAGTCATGGATCGCATGTAATGGGATAACTGAGAAGTGTTGGTGTCATCAATTACTGTTACTGCAAGAGGGGTAGATTTCAAATTGGGAATAATCAGAAAAATGAAATGAGTTCCTAGTTTTACCTGAATTTAATGTGATTGATTCTTTCATCATTATTTAATAACACAGCAGGTTTGCATAGTCTGACCATAAAGTAATCATTACACTTGAATAATGTAAACTGATCGAGATTTTTTAATCAGAGTTTCAATACCATAATTCAAGCATTTACTCCATGAGCAATGTGTGTCAGTCAGGACAGGAGCTCGGGATTATAAATAGTGGGATTACTATAGACCTGTTGATGTAATCAGTTACAGTTACTAAAAGAAGAGTAGATCTCAAATGTCTTGGAAGGAACAGACTGTAGGTGACAGTTGCTATCATGTTTTTCTTTTATCAATATATGTTTAATTTTAATGTCATATCAGACATCTGAACACACATTACATTTACTTCTCAGGACTTATTTCTATGCTGTTCTATGATTTAAAATGAATCATATTTGAATTTATGGTGAAAGTTATTAAGTTTGTATCGTGTCATTTATTACTTTAGAAAAGGTTTTTTATAATTACTTATTATATTAGAATTTAAGTTATTGAAATTAATACCTTGAAATAATTGAGGGACTGGGGTATCTTAAATAGATTAATAAAGAACTAATAGAACATTTACATTGTATTAAAATGCTTACAGTACTACACCAACTTTTCAGGTCTGGTCTGCAAAATCTGATTTATCAACATTTATCAAAATTACATATATTGTATAATGTGTGTGTAACTGTTTGTCTTTTACCAAGAATAATAATGTATGAGTCATCATAGCATGCAGTATATTACATATAAAAAGATAGCAAAAATTGGTATGTCCAATTTTAACAGCAAATATTTCTTAAATAAAAAGCTGTTGCAAAACAAAACATTTCTGATATCTTAGCACTTGGTGTAAATTCTGAAGCATCATTTAGCTCTGTAAATAGATATCAAAGGGAAAAAACAAAGACATAAAATAAAATCATTTCATTCTCAGACATTTAGCATAATACAAGACTCGCAATCACTGATCATATTTAATTAGATTACATAGTTCATAGAGTAAGTATTTCATGGTTAAGGAATAGATTACACACAGTATATGTATATATTAAAAAATATTTACAGTACACACATTTATATTATTGTCCAAAGCCTATAGTTCAATAACATGTTCATGTTCATGTATATAAACACAATTAGTAAGATAATTAGTCATATCAATTTTATTTTAAATAACTTGTTTGTCACATGTGTTCTTGTCATTTGTATTTCAATTGAATTCACTTTGATTTGTATAAATCACAACCAAGGTGATCTCAAGGTATTTTCGTGGCAATTCTGCAATCCCACTCTGACAACGAGGAACGAGACAAAAATCTCTTACAGTCACACTTTAATGCTCAGAGCATGATACACAAGACAAAGGTTGGTTTGTAACATGCATGCCAGTGGAAAGCTGTTCTTTCTCTTTATACATTTGGCTCGTTCCTCCCCCTCAGGTTGAGGTCGTTTCTAAGCCAAAGGTCAGGATCTTCTGATGACATCAGGGCAACAATACCTTAGATTAGGCAATCAGGCCAAGATTCAGTCAGTTGCACAGGATTCAGCATGATCAAGGTTACATCGTAAAGACTCAATCATGATCATAGGGGAAATGAACATGAGTACATTCTGCATGATCAACATGTTACATTTCCCCTTACAGTATTTTACAAAACAAGGTCGAGACCTTACAGTATTATAGTGAAACCCAACAGTTCCCACAACCAGCAAACACACGGTGTCTGTGTGTTTTTATCAGCTGATGGTTCAAACTGTCGCAGATAAATCAGCTTTAGTCGTGGAGGAAGGAGGAAATCTGGACAAACCAGCTTGTCACATGGCGAAGAGCATTTATTACAGCACCGTTTCTACTACAGACTAAATTTGCCCCGTGGCTCCTCTCCAGCTCCAGTCAGCTCCAGCATGTGGGAGTGACTAAAGTTCCTGTGGTGTGTGACTGGTTGAGAGCAGCGGGACTTCGGACAGAACAAGGGGAGTGTGAACCAGCAACTTGTCAATGAGTTTACAGACCGTGTGAGTGTTGAAATGTCTGGAAGCTCAGCAGTCCTGCCCTGTGATCTGTAGCTGTCCTCCTCAGCAGACAGCGATCGATGGATTTCCACAAACTTTGCTCGTTTGAAACGTTGCTGCAGGTCTGCGGCCGCTACGGTTATGGTGGGAGGCTGGAGGACGTGGTCGAGCAAGAGTTCGCTCGGGTAAAAGGTAAAGATCGTGCAGACATGGTGGAAGTGACAGGAGAGCACAGGCCGATCGCTGTAATAGCTGCTGTCTCACTGTAAACAGGAACCACGTACCTGGATCATGCAGGAGCCACTCTGTACCCCGAGTCTGCGGTCAGGAGCTATGGCCTGGACTTATCGAGGAATGTCTACGGTGAGAGAAGTGTTATTTTGGTAACACTTTATATTAGGGAACACATATCAACCATTAACTAGTTGCTTATTAGCATGGATGTTAGAGGCATATTGGCTCTTTATTAGTCATTATAAAGCACTTATTAATGCCTTATTCTTAATGACCTTATTCTGCAACTACTCCATTGATTTACAGTTTTCCCTTAATAACCTCCTAATTATTGCTTATTGATAGTAAGTAAGGAAGTTGTTGTACATGAATAACAATCAAGTTCTTGGATATATTCACTTTGTGTGTTCCCTAATATAAAGTATTTTCAATGCAGCCATTAATTACTGTCATCCACAAAATTTAAAGGGCAGATCTATGATTTTTCAAAATCAGGGGCCATAAATGGGCCCCACTTTTCACATAGGGTTCAATTATATGGCCAACATCCATGCACAATTCCTGATCCAAGCTGCGTTCAGACAAACACTGAATCTCCTGACATTCTCTGTAGGGGTGGTATATGTGAAAGCACAAAAACACCTGAGTGAAAACTCCAGAGGAAGTCTGAATGAGCCCATGTGAGAACACAGCAGGGGGTCCTCCAAAGGACTCACTGAGAGCTCGTGGGCGTGATGATGTTGTTTCAAACATGTGACAGAAGCAAAACTGAAAAAAGAAAACAAATATCTATCTGTCTGTCCATCTATCTATCTATCCATCCATCCATCCATCCATCGTCTATCTATCTATCCATCTATCTATCTATCTATCTATCCATCTATCTATCTATCTGTCTATCTATCTATCTGTCTATCTTTTATGTGTATATGCCATATTCGTAGAAGAGACAGAGGCAGATGTCAAGAGATCTTTTCGGACGACAGTGTCGATATACTAGAATTAAAAACATGTGATCTCTTGAGCAGAATTAATACATCACTTCCTGCATCTGCCTGGTTGGCCACCACTCACCTGAATCCTCTTGAGATTTCTGGGTTGTTTCTTGAATGTGTCTGAGCGGAGAATCTCCTGCTGCATTTTGCATGTTTGAGCTCTTGTCTGAAAACTGCTTCAGTAAGGTGCACTTCATTCTTTGTTTACTGTTAGCTCTATAACTTTGAGAAAAGCCACACACCACTGAATATGTTTCAAAATTGTTTCTTGTTCAAGCACATTGTGTGCTTTAAAAAAAGCCTATAAAATAAAAAATAACAGATTGTCATATGTATTGTTCGTGTCAGGACAAGGGCCAATCAGAATTGGCTCCTGAACCCACCCATGTGTCTAAGTTTTGTTTATCTCCGCAACAGGGAACCCTCACAGCCATAACCCCAGCAGCAGATTGACACATGACACCATAGAGAGGGTCAGATACAGGTAAAGTCCATTCACGCCCTCATATACCTTTATAACGGGGCCCTTGTGAGACCCTTGGATTTTCCTTTACTGCTTCAAATTAGTTAAAAAAGGGAATATTTTCTTACAGGGTATTGCAGCATTTCAATGCTGACCCAGAGGAGTACTCTGTGATTTTCACTTCTGGTTGTACAGCCGCTCTCAAATTAGTGGCAGAGAGCTTTCCCTGGAGGCCGGAGACTGCGAGCGAAGCGGGGAGTCACTTCTGCTTTCTCACTGACAGCCATACCTCTGTAGTTGGCATAAGAGGGTTGACTTCTGGCCGGGGGGTAGTTGCCTTGCCTGTCTCCCCACAGGATGTGGAAAACAGGGCAAAGGATGAGCCGTGGGGTGAAGATGATATTTGCCCGACGCCGCACCTTTTCTGTTACCCAGCACAGAGCAACTTCTCTGGGAGGAAGTATCCCCTTAGCCATGTGAAAGGCATCCATGCAAGACACCTCTACCCAGCGTGCGACCACCGAGGCCGCTGGTTTGTGCTCCTCGATGCCGCCTCTCATGTCAGCTGTTCCCCTCTAAACCTACAGGACTGCCCCGCTGACTTCATTCCCATCTCCTTCTACAAGATGTTTGGCTTCCCCACAGGGCTCGGGGCCCTTCTTGTGCGTAACGACGCAGCAGGCATACTAACAAAGTCTTATTTTGGAGGAGGCACAGCAGCAGCTTACCTTTCTGGAGAAGATTATTATGTGCATTCAGCAAACATTTCTGACAGGTAAAGTACTGCACAAGCCTGCCAAAGCCTTGATATTCACAGCTTACAGTTGCACTCTGTAGTTCTTGCATCCTTACTCTTAAATGCAATGTTTTCCTTCTCCCTGATACAGATTTGAAGATGGAACTGTTTCTTTCTTGGACATTGTTGCTCTGAATCACAGCTTTGAAGCTCTTTATAAGATCACAGGTGCTGTAACAAACCTCCTTTAATACCAAAGTTATAATGATGCATATGCAAGTTGTTCCTAATGAGTAATTGCCTAAGGTTAACATCAACTGCATCCCGTCTTTTACCCTTTTTGCCTTCAGGGGGCATGCATAACATCCAACAGCACACGTTTTGCCTGGCACGCTTCACTTACATGCTGCTGTCAAGTCTTTGCCATGGCAACGGGCGACCGGTGGCTCGGATTTACACCAAAGGCCAGTTTGAGTGTCCAAGCACACAGGGTTCAATTTTAAACTTTAACCTCATGGATTCTCATGGATCTATAATTGGGTATACTCAGGTACATAATTAGGGAAATAGGACTTATTTCTATTTCATAACAGTTTCAATACCACATGTATGTATAGGTAGTACTATACATATAGGCAGTGGGCTTATACTAAACTATTCCTCTGCTGTCCTCAGGTGGACAGAATGGCCAGTCTGTACAACATCCATGTGCGCACAGGTTGCTTCTGCAACACAGGGGCCTGTCAGTCCTTCCTCGGGATCACCAATCAGCAGATGAGGAGGAATCTGCAGGTAATATCAAGGAATAGGAAAAATGTCAAGTGAATTAAAGGCATGAATAGGTAGAATAAAACATTGTCTTTTTCTTCTTCAAGGCCGGCCACGTCTGCGGAGACGGCATCGACCTGGTGGACGGCCAGCCGACCGGATCGGTTCGCGTGTCCTTTGGTTACATGTCAACGTTTGAAGACTGTCAAAAGTTCCTTAACTTTGTTGCTGAGTGCTTTGTGGAGAAACCGGTCACAGTGGACGAAAAGAGACTAGAAAAGCTAAAAACAACCACAGAGGCATCCCTGGGCTCAATTGAAGATCCGCCAATCAAAATTACTAATGGAGAAATATATAAAGCAGATGAGAAGGAGCCCACAGAAGCATCACTGAAGGGATTTGGACACAGAGACTCAGAAAGCCACGGGGAGGCTTATACTCTCACCAGCATCTACATATATCCCATCAAATCATGTGGAGCACATGAGGTCTGAGCACAACACCACCCAGTCTCTTTTCATTACTTTTATTTCTTTCTCTGTCTCTCCTTATTTATTTCCCTGTCTCTGTTTTGACTGGGCTGTTCTTCATGCAGGTCCACAACTGGCCGGTGGGACCGCAGGGTTTACTATATGACAGAGGCTGGATGGTTGTGAACGCAAACAGCGTTTGCCTGAGTCAGAAGAGAGAGACACGTTTATGCCTAATTCACCCACAAGTCCACCTGCCCTCAAACCAATTGCTCCTGCAGGCATCAGGTCAGACAGTCTGTCTGTGGCTCACAGAAAATAAACACACCACTTAGCCGAAGGAAATTAACCTGCAGGTGAATAAGTGTAAGTTGGTTATAATTTTTTTGCTGTTGCCCTGCAGGGATGAACACTATTTCTGTTCCTTTGGAAAACAACGCTCAAAAGCAGACAAGCTATCAGGTGTGTCAGAGCAAAGTTTGTGGTGACAGGTGAGTTGGCAAAGTTAAAACATCTGAAAGCAGCCGCTGCAGGAAATACTGTCACACATATCATTTGCTCCATATCTTTCATTCATATCAATGCATTTCTCTCACCCCATTGTTCTCTCGGCAGTGGATGGCATTATGAGGCCTCCCTCTCTCAGCTTCATATGAATTTCCTCTTTTTTGTTTTATCATTTGTAATGGAAAAACAAACAATGGGCAAGAGACGATATTAATGTCCTCAGACAGATACCTGCATGACGAGTCACTGGCTGAAAACAAAACTTTTCATCCAGTCATTCTTGGATTAGATGCACCGCAAATAGTAAACTGCATCAAACTCTGTAGATTTCCCCCAGGGCCTCCTGAATATAATCGTCCTCCCTCTTGCCCCCAGGGTGGAGACTGTCGACTGTGGGGATGAGGCTGCATCCTGGCTTTCAGACTTTCTTGGACAGCCATGCCGCCTGATAAGACAAAGTCCTTATTTCACCCGAGACATGAAGAAGAGGCCGAGCGGAGGTATGCTACATATAAACATTTTACCTGTTCTGCCTAGCTCTTCTTCCTGTGCTTCCTTTGCAGATTGATCTGTACAAGAGCAGTGCAAGGTCACATTTCTCTGCAAATATCTGGTCGTTGTAGCTGAGACCTTGCATTGCTTCCTGCTGCTTACTTGAAATTTAGAAATGTCATGTTTTTCTGCTTTTGCAAATCACTCTGTTTTGAAGCATTAGTTTAATATGTAAAAGGAGAATTCAGGGGAGGTTGGATAATATAATGATATATGAGTCCCAACCAGGGTGCTTGTATTCCAGGTAGGTGGAAAGATTATTAGACTCAACTCAAAGAAATTATAGATTAAGAATCATCCATTCACAAGATCATCTTTAACACCTGAACACCACCTGGTGTCACTGACTACATTTGCATGGACCCTCTCCCAAATAAGACGTCATTTCAATAATGATATTTACATGAGTTGCAAATAGAACACCTCCTGATTATGATGTATAACTGTTTACTTAATGTGTATAGGTTTGAGTACTTTAAATTTCTTGATTTGAGTTGCTTGTTCAGAGTATGACCTCATTCAGGTTAAGGTAAATGTTAACATAAATCTTTGACTATTGCCTTTATCAGGTTAATATTGGAATATTGCTGTCAATGGTTGAATTAGCTAAAATAAACGAATACATGGTAAAAGTGGCTTAAAGTCACAGAGAAATGGTTAAAAAGTCAAAAAAAGATTTTAAAAAAATACAAATATATAAATGCTAGTAATAAATAGATAGCTTCTGCAACTCCATATGGTAATGATAAGCATGACTTGACTAAATTGACCAAAACCCTGGCAGTTTAGTGGTGGGGGGAAAATACATCATAAATAATCCCCACTTTATCATATTCAGATGAACATGTTTTGAACATGACAGGTGCTGCTGATGAATGTGAAAAGGCTGTGAGGATATGTCAGACAGAAAAAGACTGATGTATAGACCTGTATCAGACAATATGAATTTCTAGTACATCAGAGACTCTAATATACAGAGGAGGCTATCAGCCCCACTGTTTTATGCATGTAGTTCAGTGTTCATGTTATGATGAGCCAGTAAACGACTGTATAATGTCTTCTTGCTCTCAAGGAGCTGTCAAGTCCAGTAATATTACCATGATGATGTCATGAATCTCAAATGAACCTCTACAATATTATATCACAATGTGTGGTATATTCATAGTGATTACTAATTCATGTATGTGGCTATAAGCGTGCATTTTGATCAACATTGATAAATGTAGTCATACATTTGCCACTGAATTTGTGGGCTCTTTGGGGATGCACATGGTTAAATCCAGAGACATGACTGTTTTGCTGAAGTCAAATAAATCAATGGAGTAATATGAAGTCCTTCCTTTCTAGCTGCCACCTCCACACCCCTCTCCCTGGTGAATGAAGCTCAGTATCTCATGATCAACCGTGCCAGTGTGGAGCTCATTCAGAAACAAATGAGCTGCAGGTTTGAACACAGAAAGTGTGATTAAAAGTATGCAGTGAAAAACACCAGGACGGATGGACGCCCAGACGTTCGTGTTACAGTGGATAATTTGCTAGGGGTGGCAAACTAACATGCAATTTCCACATCCCCTCTTCTCCTCAGGCAGGACTATTCTGAGGGCGATCAGCTCCTTGACACACAGAATGTCATTAGTCGCTTCCGAGCCAATTTAGTCATCACTGGAGTCGAACCATTTGAGGAAGATAATTGGTCACACTTGATTATTGGCAACACTCGATTCGTGGTGAGCTGACACTTTGAGATAAATGTTGAAATCTTCACATGCATTAAAAGCGGATTCCTCGGAAATTAACATGCTCTCTGTGTGATTAACCCAAAGGTCGCAGGTCCGTGTGGAAGGTGCCAGATGGTGGGAGTAGACCAGGAAACAGGGACCAAAACAAAAGAGCTGCTCATGTCTCTGTCTGCTTACCGCGGAGGGAAGGTCGGTCAAACACAATGATTTGCTCAGATGTTATGTTTGTGCCAGTGTGTTTGTGCATGAAAGGTACGATCCCTCTGCCTGTTATTTTGTGTATTTTTAGGTGACCTTTGGTGTGTACCTGACCCATGAGCTACCAAAGGGCTCCCTCTCTGTTGGCTCCCTCATACACCCCAAGCCACTCACTTCGTGAAGTGGTCATCTGCATCGACATCCTCTTTTATTTATTTTGGTGACATCTTTGGTCCTCACCACTCTCATTTCTGCACTGCAAGTCCTGGATCACGTCATACACTGTGAGGACTTTCTATAGATCGCACTCTTTTCTGTCTTTGCAGCCTCAGTGCTTTCAGTTCTCTTAAGTGTCCTTATCACACTCACATTTTATTCCATCCAAGTCTGTTTTAATGGGGAATATAATGAGATTTTTGTATTTTCCGCCCATGATTATGTTCTTTAAAGAATGTGTGGGAAAGTAGATGTGACTAAATTACATTTTGGATATGTGGCTGTTATTTTAGCCAAAAACAAGTCAGGCTTTAATCACTGTTCATGTTAACCTCCCAGACAGCTATTCCACTTTTTTAACCCTTGGAGGTTTATATTGTTATTTATTCCAAACACAACACCACTGTAACTGCTTCCAGAATTCAGAAACATGTTTCTCCCTTTAATGAAAGAACCTACCAGACAGTCAGTGCTCGGTACATACTCCCAAGTGGTGCGGAATTGGACATAATATTTTATGCCAGCATGTGTAATAATTTGAAAAGAGCAGTAAGGTTAGGTTTCATGGCCAGCAGAACTTTTATTCTCAGAGTCACATGCTCAAATATAAAGTATATATGAGCTGTGCTGCTGTCAATGTCTGGTAGTAAAACTGGTCCTATGCTGGTCACCCATGGTGGAGTTTTTGAAAGATGCTGTGTATCCCAATGTTTTGTTATGCTGATAGCAGGGTAGTCAGTGTCTGTGTTTTCAATTCAGTTTGATTTGTATAGCGCCAAATCATAATATACATTATCTCAAGGCATTTTACATAGAAGGTATATAAATATATACATATATATATATATAAAGCCCTTTCAAACAAATGCTGAGGTAAATATAGATGGATGACAATTTTAAGGAAATGCCCTTGTAAAGTGTCTTATTTAATATTTTGATGATGTCGACGGGCTGCGTCTTATAAAAGTCAGAATATTTCAGTTTGGTTGAGATCTGGTGACTTCATAGGCCATCGGAAATGATTCACATAATTTCAATACTCGTCACCTCCTTTAGTGACTCATTCACTCTGGTTCTTCCTTCATTATGTCACTCATCTCTACCTCCTACTGGTGCACAGTCTGTACAACAGTTGTTGTGCACCCTGGCAGTGGCTGTTACTGAGAAGCCTCATTGATTTGAATCAGCTGTTTTATTTATTAAATACAGACAATTATGTGTGAAATAATTTAATTAAATAAAAGTTTATTTAATTGCAGCATATTTAAAATAGTAATATAAGTAAGGCATGTACTGTATATGTCCATATATAATGTAAGGATGTAATTTTTATAATAAAGAATATGTTTTAATCGCATTGTAAGATACTTGTTTGTGTCACATGACTTTCAGTGCCAGACCAGTAAACAATGTGTCAGATTTATTTAGACCGTAAATAAACATGGATGACACATGAACAACACTGTACAAAACAAGACTAGTTTACTAATGAATATTATATATAGATTCATGCATATATACATACACAAATATACACATACTTGTGTTTATATACATGTAATTTGTGCAAAGATCAGCAGCAGTGGAATCGTAAAGTAAGCAATATTTGATAGGTCACAAAGTGCATTGTTGTGTGTGTTATTTTTTCTAAAGCTAAGGGGCAGTGTGTGTTTCTGGGCCTGATTGCCTGTGGGTAGAAGCTGTTTGCCAGTGTTGTTGTCCTGGACGTCCACACTTCTGCAGTGAGTGTGAAGAGGCGGTGTTGGGGATGCGTGCGGCCCCTGATGATGTTCGTGCCTTTCTTCTATCATCAAATAAATCATTCGGACAAACACCAGTGTGATACAATTACCATGCTTTGTGAAAAGTGTATTTGATTTGTTTTGAGATTTATTTAGTTTTTGTCTATGTCCCATCCACTAACATGGAAGAGGCAGGATTTATGACCTGTACTGCAGATTAAGGGATAAAGACAGGAACAGTACACAGGGTTGTAGTAGTGGAACCATAGACTGTATATAAAGAGGGTGGAACACTACATTTCGTAGTTGAAAAGTAACTTTTATGACCTGAACTGTTTGTGCACAGAACCAGTCTGAAGTGGCTCAGACAAACAGCCTTAGCTCTACTTAATAGGATGCTTGCATTTGACTGTTCTCCATCAACACTCCACATCCCTGTGACTCTCTGTGTTGAAAGCTTCTAATAAAATACACAGAGACACATTCGGAAATCCAGCCTCTTGTATTTTCAGATTTCCATCAGTGTACTGTATTTAAGGTGGCGTTGTGTGCAACATGTATTGTGCTTTATGTTAAAACGATATAAAGCAGTGCCCCCTTAACAAGCACCGGTTCCTCCCCTTCGTCATGTTCTAACTGTACTTTGATCAAACTTGTGTTCGCTGCTCGTCAAGAGTCAGAGAACTGTGAGACTGGATCCAGAGGAGAAGTGAACAAACACACATACATCATATATATTGTCAGTGTGACTGACGAGGAGACGCCATGAAGAGACGAGTTGTTCAACAGACTCCTTCGACTTCCGGAGTGGCTGCAGCTCAGAGGACTGAGCAGAGGAAGGAGGAGTCACTGTGAGTCCACTGGATTACCTCTCTAACTTTCTGCACGTGATGTTAGTAACTGTGGATGACTGTTTTCACTTGTTTACAAATCAACGAAACAAGAGAATCAAGTTTGAAAGGCTTTAAGTTGCAGCGGTTTAGTGTCTGACATCATGTTTCACTCACTCACTTATTTACAGATATAGTTAGAAGAAATAATGATTGAGTCAGGATCCAACGACCACAGTCAATACAAATGTGACACTGATAAGGTGGCTGAGATGTAGCAGAGTACTGTTCTAAGTACATCTTTCATGTATCTGTACTTTACTTAAGTGGATTGGTTTTCTGGTACTTTATACTTCTACTCCACTATACATATCAAACACATATCTGTGCTTTCTACACCAGAACATCTTTGCTCTGCATTGTGTTTCATATTCATATTGTTAACAATAAGTTATCAATAAGAAAAGGGGAGTTGATCCAATCAGAGCAGGCATAGCAGAGCAGGATACACTCAGCAATTAATTTTAGTTGTAATACTTTATATAGATTAAAAAACAAGTGCTTGCTTATGTTTTCTAAGTAGAGAAGTTAATGTACTACCTTTACCTGAGTCCATTTCTTGTCTATTTGTTTGTACTTTACTGAGGTAAAATGTTTGAGTTCTTCAACACTAGTGACACATGACTACATCTGTTTTCACTTAGCCAATATGAGTGTATAGAGTGATGGAGGGAAAAGACTATACCACACACAGAACTATTTAAAATGGAAAAATTGCTTATTAGACCTTAACCTTAAGGTTCACAGTCTCAAGATTCTCCTTAAACCAATTTTTCCTTGATTTGACCCACTCTGGTGGATTTAAAATTCATTTGAGTAGATGCAGGGCAAATTTGATCCGGAACAGTTTCAATGTACAAAGAGTTGTGCCACCTTTATAAAAGTACGATGTTTCTATATTTTGATTTCAGAGAACTTTGGGTCACTTTAGGAGAAGTCATCAAATCTCAGATTAAAAATACACAAAGTGTGCAAAAGTGCAGGATTCTGAATTTCTGTTGCATGAACAAGTGTTTGTCCAGAAGACATCACACTGCAGGTGTTGATTCATTAAAAAGTCCCATATGAGCTCACTGCCAACTTCAGGAAAAGATCTGAATATCAAAGTGGATAACTGTGGACAGATGAGACCACAGTCGGATGGCTGCTGGAATAAACCACCTCCTCTGTGTTTCCCTCCGAGCTCTGTGGAGGAATCAGTCTTGGACTAAAAGGGCTCTTCTGGCTGATGAGAGCCTTAATGGAGGGGGTGGGATGTATTGTCCATTAATTGGTAATAGTCTGAATAGCTTCCTCTTTGTCAGCCGCTGGCTTCAAGGAGTCAAGGCCTGACTCCAATGACCGCCTGCTCTCCTTAATAGATTATTCAATTACTCTCTTCTATATTAATGTTTCCATATTAATCCTGCAAGGTGAGACATGTGCGGAGCAGCTCTGCATATGCCAGTGGTCCTGAGAGTGTCCTCATGTAGGTCTATATCTGCTGCATCGGTTTCACCATCTCCTTAATGGAAGCTGCTGTTTGGAGGTCATATTTTCTCAAGCTTTGCCTCCATGCAGCTACAGGTACTTATTTTTACAGCACTCACTACCCTGGAACTGCTCTCCCCTTTACTGATGCACCTCACAATCCCTGAATCACCCAAAGTCCCACCTCTGCAGCTGAAATGAAACAGAGGTTGAGCTGAGTTCAGATGTAAAGAGGTTGAAGTAGAACGTTGGGATTTAAAGAGTAGCAATGTTGCCTGGTGATGATTTGGTGTTGTGGCACTTCAGATTGGACAGGTATCCAGAGGGCATTTCAAATCACAAAGTGGAAAGACACTCAGAGGAGACCCCTTAAATTCAAATAAGCTGCAGAAAATTAAACACACAGGATCCATGAATTATTCTTTGAGAAATTGGTGAAAATGTTGAAAAATAAACAAAAAAAGAGCCTAATCTCACAACTGTCTGGATCTGCCCTTTTTGCAGATCTGCATCATATTTTAATGGGCTCTTTAATGGCAAATGCCCCACCCATGGGTGCTGGATCGACAAAATATCATAAAATGTTTTGAAAAGAGAAAATGCACACACCTAAAGCTCCTGTTAAAGGAATTATTTGCTGGTGATGCCTCAAGCTCTTTCTCAGACATCTGATTTTAGCAATACAGAATGTATACATATCGTAGTAGATAGTGTAATAAATATATATAGAAAAATAATTCTCAAAATATAAACATGTCTGTCCATGTCTCATTACGTTTCATGGAAATCTGTCTGGTAGTTTTTGTGTCATCATGCTTGACACGGGGGAAAACATAGCTTTCTTGGCCAAGTTAAAATAATCAATGACAACTATTGTTAAATAAGAAGATGGCGATCTATACTTATTGACACTTTACCAAAATGTTCTGTACTTGTATGTCTTAGTTATGAAACTACAATACAACAAATATTTGAACCAGGACCAGACCACCTCTTTATGTGGACATGGTGAGTGATCGGTGATCCACCTGTGATTGGATTATCAGATGTCAACACCAGGGGTGAACAGGAGCTCAGAGACACCTGGAGGCTCCTTGGCCTTCACTGACACATTTAAGATGAAGCTTGGATGGTTAACAGACCGTCTCTCTCTCTCTCTGTCTGTGTCCAGGTCCCGGTGGTGGCTTAAAAGAAGCTTATTGGTCTTCTTTGTTGTCTTCATTTTGGTGCCCACCTCGCTGACAAAACTCCCAGAATTAATTCAGCACTTTGTTTACACTCATCGAAGTAAGAGAAAAACCCCTGTCTGCCTCTAACAAGCACTGTAAATCATCCACTCGCTCACAGAAAAGGGGCCCACCTCTCTTGTTCTCCTTTTTGTAGTCAGTGTGCCATTCTTCCTTGACCTCCGCCAACCTGCTGATCTCTCCCTTAATCACACCATCAACATGTACTTAACATCAGAGGAGGGAATCTCCCTCGGCGTATGGTGAGTATAAGCCAAGTTTGACCGTTTCTTTATCCAGCATTGGAGACAAAAGGCAAAAAGAAAAGGAGAATACCAGTTTTTTAATGATCTCATTATCAGTCATGTCTCTGAGCCAGTTTGTGGTTTCAAACTGCTTAAGGCACACTGTCCCTGAAAGTCGCTGGAAGGAGGCACAGGGGAAGGACTTGGCGTGGTACCAGAACACTTTAAGCGATGGAAGGCCAGTTTTCCTATATCTTCATGGGAACACGGGCACAAGGTATAATGAATAATGCATTTGTCTTATAGTTGGCTCCTGCAGAGGCAGAGAGAAGAAGTTCCACACCACTGGACATATTTTTTCTTTTCCTTTTTTTTCTCCAAAAACACCAATTTATTGGCACTTGTGTTGTGTGTGAATCATTCCAACAGGGCAGCCTCTCATCGGGTGGGAGTGGCAAAAGTGAGTGACCAACAGCACAAACATATTATTTTTATGGCACTGTAATAAAAAATATAACGTCTTAGTAGCCATTATGATGATAAATAAGCCTTTTTATGTCAACAGATATTGAGTGCACTTGGGTACCACGTGCTTGTGCCTGACTACAGAGGTTGGTGCTGACGAAGATTTATGAGTCTTCTTTTAAATATGTTTTCCATCTCTATGCGTCTTTCCCCTCTCACTGTAGCACGCGAGCTTCTCACATTGATTTCATATAATTCACCATCACTGTGCAGCTTGATCACTTGCTTGTTGTGAGACAGTTAATAGACAGCAGTTCAACTGAAGGTCAGCCTCTAGTGCAGGGTCCCCTCTGAGTGACTGCCACCTTGTGGCAGAGCGAGGCAGCTGCGTGATGTATCTGTGAGCAGCAGCTGACATGAGAAACTCTGGCAGGGTTTGGAGACTCCACTGGGGAGCCGACTGAGGCCGGACTGACCACTGACGCCCTTTACTTGTACAACTGGGTCAAAGCTCGCAGTGGAAGCAGCCTGGTTGTCTTGTGGGGACACTCTCTTGGCACCGGGTGAGACGGAAACAACTCAAAGTCTGTACACTGCTGTCGAGATCGTGCACTGTATACTATTCTTATTTCTTTTACATTAAGCTTTGAAGTAACAGACTGCCACATTTGCACTTTAATATAACTTTTGTTATCCATTTTAAATTGATTTTCATCTGTAGCAGTTGGCTTGAGCCATAATGACTGAAGAGATGAAGACAATAGCTCCACACAAAAACACTAATCTTCAGAAAACTTAAACTCACAAGAACGAAATATCCAAAGATTTCTCTAAAATAGGGAATGGTTACACAAATGAGTGTCTTAAATTATTTACCTAATGCAGCTCATGATTGGAGCATGTTAAGTAGGGAGTCCTTAGTTTTAAACAGGGTAGACCACAAACAGTTCAGTTTGACAACTCACACTTCAAACATGTATTGCAGCAGCAGAACTTGGAGTTTGGGGGCTGAATCAACAGGAAGTGATTCTGATGCAGGGCAGCTGAGGCATTGAAAAGCAAAGGGAGAGTTAAATAGCTTAAATAGACCTCCACATTCGGAGGGTGTGTATGTTAGATGGATTGTAGCGAGTGAGGCATGTCACATCATTAGAGCAGCTCAGCTCGAGTTGACTGCCTGAACTACCTCGCAAGTGTCGCTCCATTTTGGAATGACAACAGTCACACACACAGAAACACAGGAAACCAAAAACACAGTGTTGCAGGTGGATCTTGATACAAACTGCTGAAATATGTCACCATCTAGAATTGTTACTACTAGAAATAGTAGAAACTGGAACTGACTTCATACCAAACAAACTGATTCTCTGAAGGTAAAATACATCATTCATGATGGAAGTAATCGAAATCAGGCTTCAGCTAAAATGCCACCATCAGGAGTAGTTAAAGAAGAAACTGTTTGGTATTATTGATATCAATAATAATTCTCTCTGGTTGGTTGTCACCTGTGTCTGATGAAGGATTTTACAAAAACCACACATTTAATTTCCACCCAAACTTAATGGAGGGATGGAGCCTGATATGAACCAGTTCAATTTCAGTGCAATTGCAGAATTACGGGCAGAGCCAGGTTTTTTTCACTTCTTTTTTTCTTTTATAAGCTACTATGAGACCTAGACACTCCTGTGTAAGGTTGTTTGTCCTTGGTGGAGGTTTGCGCTTTAGTGAGCTAATCATTGAAGTAATAGACAAAATGTAGAAACTGAGGTTGCTGTTTTTCACATCTCTGTGCAGCGTGGGCACCAACACTGCAGCAAAACTGATTGAGCAAGGTAAGTGTTGCTACCAGTGAAATTTGACAAACATAATTAAGTGGAGGTGATTTCTAAATTAAAAAATGGCAGCGATTTCTTGTTTTCAGGTGTAGTTCTTGACGGTGTCATCTTGGAGGGTGCATTTAATACTGCTGCACAGCCGATTACAGGCCATCCATTTACTTGGGTAGCTTCACCAAACTTTTGGCATTAGATTTGTTATTATCATGCTGCTGCCACTGAATTACACAAAACCCTGATATGTTCTATTTCTTCCTGTTTGAAGTATTACTGGAAACTTCCAGGCACCGGATACTTTTTCCCAGAACCATGGGCAGGAAACAAGGTTGTTTTTCCTAATGAGGAAAAGTAAGTTTTCATGAACTCATGGTTAATGTCAGATATGAGCTGACGCATGACATCAAACACTGATTCACAAATAATGTTGTTACTACCAGTAATATAGTTTTTTATATGTGTCTGCCTGCAGTTTGAAGAAAATTAGAAGTCCAATACTTTTCCTTCATTCAGAGGACGATCACATAGTTCCCATTCGGATTGCTCAGCAGGTACTTCTGGCACAAAGAGCTTCTTTTCATCTATGTAAACTGAGGTGGTGATTAGAGCTGGAACAGAGTGTCTTCTGCAGGATAACTTTTTTGTTTTTGGAGGACTGAACTTAATTTGCCTTTCTGTCCCAGTTGTACGAGGTGGCAGTGAGTGCCCAGAATGCAGAGCGGGTGAAGATAGTTTCATTTGATGGTTCTCAGGGGTACCTGCACAACGGCTTGTACCGAGACCCTCGTGTGCCTGACATCATTAAGTGAGAAAACATGTCACTGATAATGCTTCAAGTGGTTATATTCTGGGATGTTTTATTTCTACCACATGTTTGTGTATCTCATCATGTCATTTCTCCCCTGCAGGAACTTTGTGCTGTCGTTGTAATGTGGGCAAGATGATGGAAACAGAAGAACCACGCCACATTTCAGATGATTCATTTCAATGTTTGCGTTGAATAAAAATACAATTATTTCGGCAAATCAATAGCTGTAGCTTTTATTTGTAAAGTTGAAATTGCTGAGGAGGCATTAGATTCTTAACTGCTGGCTTTTTATTATCTGTCAACAATGATTCATCCTGACTTAACAGAACTATGAATAATAATTTTAATGTGAATTATTTTTCAGATGAGATGGCTTCAGTGGGGGCCCTCTGCTGGGTGTGTTTGTGTGGTGACAATGTTCATCTATAATATGAGATAATCAATTTATTAATCCAAGGCTTCACAGGTATATACTGTATATATCAGTAACAGCTCAGAATAATAGAAAAACAGGAAAACATCTGACCCCTGACCTGCATGGTTATCATAGGTGTGGTTTCAGTAAAACACCTAATCTTAGTATTCTCACTGCTGTCAGTTCAATAATATATTCAGCAGTTTGTTATAGTAAATTGTACCACACCCCCTTTCACTTTGTTCATCCTGTGAAATCAAAATGTCAAGATGTATAAGTTTACCTGTGGTAATTTCACATTCCTATGCCTCAAGCTTACAATAAAATTGATAATCTTGACAGAGCTGTATTTTTTTCCCTCTGTAAATTGTAATACACTACAGTACAGCCTAATGTGCACTCTGTTACTACAAATCTAACTCATTGAGGAATGATATGATATGTATGAGTGTGTGCAAGTGGGTGCAGAACCAAACAAAAATCTGGATCTGGTGAATTTACAAATGGTTTCATACGGGAACTGTTGGGCCTTGACTGAGGTATGTGCTCCTCAAAGTGCCATTGTAGTTTCATGTATGTATCTCAACTTTCTTTCTTATTTTCTTAACATTATAGAGCTCAGAACGATGTTACCTGTCAAAGAAGACTTTAACTAGTATTATCCCACTTTTTGAAGAGTGAAAGAGAAATTCAGCTGAAATTCAACTGCAGATGGAGCATTGTCAAATAAAAAACTACATGCCAATTTTCATTAAACTTGAGTGGTATAGTTCTGATGAGTTAAACTAACTTTATCACTGAGTTGCAAACTGAAGCCTCTATAGGTTTCTGGTAGTGAGAGATATAACTTTTCTTATTGCCTCTCTATTACTGAACTTTTACATGTTTAACTCCGGTATAAGTTGCATGTGTTATCCTCGGGGGAGCATGGCGATGCACACCTCACAGAAAATCATCGTTGGTGGCGGGTGAGAACATTTCAAACTACGCGGGTGATATTGCTCCGAGACGTGTGGAGGCCTCGGGTCACGGGGCAGGCTGTGAATGGAACAGGCTGCGTGGGGCAGAGCTTGTGTTTCCTGCAGCAGATCCGTCAGTCGCAGCTCTAGCTCCGGTCCCGGCAGGCGGATGACGTGGCTGAAGCTTGCGGACACGGTTTCTTTATTCACCGCTGCTTGGACCGCTCTCCGCGCGGATTGGACACTTCGAGCCACGTGACTCCACTCGGCCAATCCGACGTGCGTGCGCTGAGCGGTGGCGACGCGCTTACGCCATATGCGTACGAGAGCATCCAAAAAAATCGCCTCTGTCATACAACCAGGAAGAAGGTGGGATAGCCCCGCGAAGCTAACGTCCCCGATCTTTCTGCTCACTTTCTCCGATAACGATGGGATCCTCCCGGTGGAAGGTGGCAGCGGCGGCGCTCCTCGCCATCGTGGGTTCGTTATTACCGGTGGACGCAGACGAACACGAACACACGGTAAAACAGCGTCTGAGAGGCCGATTGAAAAAAAGGGGGAGCCTTGAAAATAATGGACGTTTGTGCTCTGTGCAAGCTGCTAACTGTAGCTGCGACGGCTAGCTGCTCACCAGAGGGGGATGATTTACAGACATGACACCGTGTTAGCTGCAGCCCGTCGGGTTATTTCTCCACTCTTGGCTAGCTCTCCTACACAGACACACAGTTAGCTCGCTAACTTGTCTCCACTTATCGGCCTAAGTGCTTATGGCTAGCCTTTGCCTGCTAGCTCGTTAGCACGGTCTCCACACAAGCTTTCCTTGAGCACCGGCGGAAACTGCACTGAAGTTAAACTCGTTCGTTCTAGTTAGTTGCTAAACAAAGTAGAAACCACGAACACAAACAACACCTGAGCCTTGTAGCCTTGGGAAAATGTCACTTAACAATTCCCCTGAAGCCACGACTGCTATTGTTGTGTTTTTAATAGCTAACACTGACTGGAAGCAGAAACACTGGTTAAACAGCGGCAGGGCCTGTCGCAGTTTCCTCCGTTATTAACTAGTTAACAGGTTAATAAACTGTGTTACACTGTGGTTTATCGCTGACTTTTATTTAAAGCTTGGTCAATTAGCTTACAATGTTAATATGATAACACGCCAGTCCACTGTTTCTCAAGTGCATCGCCTTTATCAGAGTTGTACTAAGACTGTAACATTTCCATGTGTTTGCATTCGTTTGAATAAAATAACGTGCTTCTAGTCATCAGTCTGAGAGATGGTGTGATTATAATTCCGCTATAAAGAAGGAATCTTCAAAAGGGTTTAAACCCATCGCTGCCGTGTCTGTGTTGTCATTAGTAGGTGTGATTTTGTGCTGATTTAAAGTCGAACTATTTCCCCCTGTAATACCAGATAGCTGCAGTATGAAACCAGCAGGACGAGCAGAACTGGTGTAGCATTCCTGCAAATGTATTAAGAGTCCTTGTGTTTGACGTGTTGCAGTACACAGATAAGGAGGAGGTCGTTTTATGGATGAACACAGTGGGGCCTTACCACAACCGCCAGGAGACGTACAAGTACTTCTCTTTGCCCTTCTGCGCGGGCTCCAAGAAGACCATCAGTCACTACCATGAGACGCTCGGAGAGGCTCTGCAGGGAGTGGAGCTGGAATTCAGTGGCCTCGACATAAAGTTCAAAGGTAACTCCACCGTTGCACCGACTACCACCTGCTGAGCTCACACTTAGTGATGGGTGACATGTTTTTTTTCTAGTCCACACGTTTTGACATTTCTAACAGATTATGTTGTGTTTTTGATCCGTGCAGATGAAGTCATGCAGACGACGTACTGTGAGATCGACCTGGACAAAGCCAAACGGGATGCCTTTGTTTATGCTATAAAGAATCACTACTGGTACCAAATGTACATCGATGACCTGCCCATCTGGGGTAAGAGATGCCCTAAAGAAATGGACAAATAATGAAAGCATGCTTGTGTTGACCTGTGTCGAGTTGCTGTAGTACATTCACAGGTAGGAAAGAGCTTTGGATGACAGACTTGACAGTGAAATGCTCCATTGTGGTTCTATGCTAAGGAGGATATAAATGAGTCACTGTCATTAGACTCTTCTTAGAACTCTCACAAGCTGTCAGTGTGGCAGCGGGTTGGACTACAGTGCCACTCCCACAGCCGCTCAAACACAACTGTGTAATCTGATTGAAGGTTGTGGGTGGGTCAGTGACATTTGCCCACACATTGTTGTATGCTTATATGATACAGACTTTGACCTCATGTCCGGTTTGCCAATGTGGTAAAGGAACCAGGGTTCATGTGGAGACGTTGGCATGTGTAGCTGGGGTTATTCACATCAAACCTTTAGAACCACAGCACACTTAATGCCCTGTGTCCAATCATCCTCAGATAACATGTGTGAGGTTAATAATCAAAAAAACATCAGCTAAGAAAAACTTGTATGGAGGACGTAGTTAATGTTTCTTTTGAACTACACTGGAAAATAAAGAAAGGAATGTGTTCTCTTATTTATCCTGCCTTCATTAATAATGGCGGGGTGGACAAAATAATAGAAGCACCTTGTTACCATGTAAAGCCAAATAATCCAACAACACAAACTGCAACCTCCAAAATGACCATAAAGTGGACACAACAGCTCTCCAGAGCAATTTCACTAAAAACAGTAAGACCTTCATGGAAGTGGGGGGTTTTCAAGGCTGTTGCATATATGACATTGTCACACTTCAAAGTGTGGACCACAGCCTAAACCAAGGTTCATGTCTTTGTTACACTTGATCTGGTTTGGTTGGTTTTCACACTGCAAGGAACTAAAGAATAGAAGAAGGGAGTGGACTAAAGAATATTGTTTACCATATGTTCGTCCTATCATCGTCCACGTGAGCTGCATCTACCTATAGTTGAGATTGATTGGTTTGTAGACGGGCATGTAGCTGATTTTGGAATGTTGTAAAAAAAAAAAAAAAATTGCTATTGTATTCACCAACTCTAAATGAAGTGCATTGTCTTTGTATTTGAATGGAAAAAATTAATAAACTGGTTCACTTTCATTGCAAGTTACCACTGTAATATTGTAATCATATTACTACCAGCAAAGTTAATGTCCTCGTCATTCAAACATTATATTGTCATAGGTGAAGACTACAAGCAATTAACTAAAATTTGGTCCATTGGTCTGGACCATGATCTGAGGCACCTTTCACATCTGTTATTTTGGTTCAGACTATACGATTGTTTACAGTGGCCAACAGGGACAAACTTTGACAATAGCTGAAGCCTCAAGATGGAAAAGAACAGATGAAAACAGATGATGCTGTAAGAAAGTTAACAAGCAGAGTAGCATGTGACCTTTATTTGGCATTTCCACATCCTGATTATTTATTTTATAAAATTGAAGGAATGTCTACATGACAGGATATTCAATTCAATGCATATCAACTTCTTTTTAGGGATTGTTGGTGAGGCAGATGAAAACGGAGAAGATCACTATCTGTGGACATACAAGAAACTGGAGATTGGCTACAATGGCAACAGAATTGTTGATGTAAATCTGACCAGCGAGGGGAAAGTCCGGCTCGTGCCAAACACACGGATCGGAATGTCGTATTCTGTGAGTTCATAATGATCCCTTTTATCAGCTAAAGCTCATTTTACTTTTTGCAATATCTTTATGAAGAGAAGAATGAGAACATGTAGGTCTAAATACATCTTTCTCATCACAGGTGAAGTGGAAGAAGTCCGATGTGAAATTTGAAGACAGATTTGACAAGTACCTGGACCCATCCTTTTTTCAGCACAGGGTGAGTTGAATATCATGTTTATCATACCAGTCAGGAACGTCACTGACATGTTGTTACAACACAATTGTGTGTGACCTTACAGTGAGTACAAGTCGAGCTTGTTCCACACTAGGTGCGATGTAACTGACCAACCTGGTAACTTTTTGGCAGACTGTCAAACTGTTGCTGCCAGCGAGGCAGGAATCCAGCTGGTTTCTCTAAAAGGAAGTTTAACAGAATGATTTTTAGAATCCATCAGCTGTAGGCTGTGGATGAAAAAGCTTTTTCTTGCCTGGACTTTTTATTCCTCATTCATACAATTCCTCTCTCTTTTTTTTCAGATTCACTGGTTTTCCATCTTCAACTCCTTCATGATGGTCATTTTCCTGGTGGGTCTCGTGTCCATGATTCTCATGAGAACACTAAGGAAGGATTATGCCAGATACAGTAAAGAGGAGGAAATGGATGACATGGTAAGTTTTAAGTTTGCTTATGAGCACACACTTGTTTGATAAATGAAGAATTATAATGAAAATTATGTTTATAAATTAATTTTTTGTAATTTTTTTCCCCT